CGTCAATGTGCCATCGTAGTCGAACATGAACAGCCGTCGGCGAGCCTTGCGGTACTGCTTCATTAGTTTTGCGCGATCGAGCGCAGGTGTAGCGACCGACTGGTCAAAGGATGAAAGGTTGGTCAGGAGACGATTGAGGTACTGCCTGGACCACATAGAAACTGTGTTGGTCACCACATGCTTATATAGCTTGAGGTGTTGCTCTTTTCGCTGCTCGGCTGGCATATTCAATGCTTGATTGATCGCTCCAGCCACCCCAACCATATCCCACGGGTTGATGTGGATGGCACTGGGCAGGGTACCCGCCGTACCGGAGAATTCAGAAAGAATCAAAGGGCTGTGGTTGGTCTGTTGACAGACAATATATTCCAGACTCGTTGTGTTCATGCCATCTCGCACCGTAGTGATCAGTCCGACATCGGCTACACGCAACAGAGCGAAGTACTCGCGCGGGGACAAGTATTGCGGATAGTACTGGACGGGCGAGAAACTCAAAGAGCCAAATCTTCCATTGATGGTCGAGACCAAGTTGGATATTTGGCCAGCGATCTTATTGTCTGGGTCTTCCTTCTCCTCTTCCACGCTAGTTGGACTCGTCACCTGGATGAGGACAACTTTGTCACGCCATTCCGGGTAGCGCTCCAGGAAAATTTCGAATGCCTGTAGCTTCTGCGCGACGCCGCGAACACTGTCCAGCCGATCGCGGCCGACGATGATCTTCTTTCCGGCATACAGTTTGCGAATACCCAACACGGTCTTCTCGATATCCGGAGCCCCAAAGGCGGCTTTTTGAATCGAACGTGCGTCGATGCCAATGGGGAAGACATCTACTGCAACATGTGCCCCGTAGGCATCAACCCCGGCAGAGTTGGACTCAAAACCTAAAACTCTTGTGCAGCACGAGGTAAAGTGTCGAGAATAGGAAAATGTTTGGAATCCAACCATGTTTGCACCCAGGACTCCCTCCAGGATCTCCTTGCGCTTCGCAAGACACCGGACAAATTCGCTACTGGGAAAGGGCGAATGTAAAAAGAATCCCACGTAAATATTCGGGATACGTTGCCGCAGCAGACTGGGCAGAAGGAACAAATGATAATCATGAACCCAGACCACGTCTCCTTCTTGATATTCCTCAACTATGCGATCTGCAAATAACTGGTTCAGGCGCACGTAGTCGGCCCACCATCGTCGCTCAGATCGGCCATCTGTCGGGCCATGTTGCTTATAGTGGAGTAGAGGGTATAGCTCACGTTCGGCGTAACGGCGCCATCTCCCTTGGTCTTTCAGCAGGATAGTCTCCTCTGGTTCTTCTGATGCGTCCGACAACCACACAGGCAATACCCGACCATGACGACCTGAGCTCAATTGTTCGTCGAGTCGTTCTCGGTCCTGTTGGGTTACGTTAATTCCCTCTACCAATGGATGTGCGGGTGGCTTCTTAGTCCCATCCACGGGAACCGGCGCAGCAGCCTTGTTCAATTGTTGGTTAGCAACAAGGGTGGGAGTTAGGGGTGCCTTGACGGCAGAATTGGGATGTATTTGCTGCAAGGGTGATTTCATGTCCACGTCAGGCTCGACCTCACCGGTCCAGCCTACCAAAGTGTGTGACCAAGAAGTCTCATCCGATGCGAGATGTGCGAACGAATCGAACAGCGCTGAAGTACCGGAACGCGACTTGAGCGTCTGTTATCCGGTCAGCCATTACGATCTCCCATAATAAATAGAGTCATGGACGTACCCAATCTGATCCCGATCGAAAGTTGAGCTTGTATGGTATGCAGAAAGCGGCGCTGATGAGGCGGCCACTCAAACGAAGTCCTGGGTGTTGTACGCGTGGGTCGGTCTCAGGGGACATGGGAGAGTCTGAGGTTAAGCTTAAGCGGCGCAGCAGATCCATGCCGGATGCTCTCTCTGCAGTCTCCACTGGCTGGGACTTGGTCTCAGACGGGTCGGTGGTTACGGCCTTGGCCCCGGGGAGACTGTCAAAGTATGAAGGGGCCTCGCTTGACATCTTCTCCAGACCAGGTGTCGCATTCGTCGCTTGTGCATATGCTTCATTTTTGAGGGCCCTTAATCCAGGCCCAACGAGCACAGGGTTTGGCTGGTCATCGGGAACCTGCGCGGGGCTCTCTGGTTCGGACATGACGAGCAGCCGAGCAGCCGAGCAGCGCTTATATGATGGGAAGATTGAGGATGAAATTCGATGTGTTGCAATTAGACTGCGAGAGTTAGGCTACAATTATCACATGCACCAAGGTCCGGGGAAACCTTGACGTCGGTGGGTTGGGAATGGGGGAGATGATGAAGAGTACATACCTCGGGGGGTTAGGACTGAGTCGATAAGCAAGGTCGGGGAAATGGACTATCGCAAGAAAGCCATGGACAATGTAAGGAAGAGGATCAAATTGAAAACAGATAGACTATATGTAAAGAAAGGACGAACAGGAAATAGTAAGGATGGAGGGGCAAGCGGTGAAGTGAAGTCTTATCGAGAGTTATCGAAGGAAATAACCTGGGGGAAACCGATTAGACCACCTTGAGAGATCTTCTCAAGTTCACGGATTCAATGTAATATTAATATAGAAACTGTTTAAGATGAAGATAGAGAGAGTATGGAGGGGAATTTGTGGATATTTCCTCAGTGCTACGTCATGTATGCATTTCTTTTTCTTTCTATATTGTGTATCGTGTCTATACATGGGTAATTGTTTAAGGTACTTCTATGTATTCTTTGACCTATATTTGGTGTCTGAAAGTACTGAGTCAGAGGTAGGATATTGCTCTATATATGTATACATATACATCGATGTAGATATTAAAAGAACCTGAACGGGTTGATGTGCAACTGCAAATACCCCCAATTGAGTCACATGGCTGCTTCTGCCTGAGGCATACACTCTCCAATCAGGTCGAAATAATCTTGGAAAGCTGCATGCATCGTCGGCATGGTGACATCCACTCCGGTGTCCTCTCTTGCCCTCTTCAAATGCCTTAACACTGTTATGCAGCTTTCGAGCCTACCTTCACGCATCCGTCCCTCTCACCTCTTTCGCCCATTCCATAGCTCCGTTGCGGCAGCCAAGACTCCCGATGTCTTTGCCAATAGTCTCCGAAAGACCCTAGAAGCCCATCGGTCCACCAATCGGTCTCATTTGATCCGCAAAATTTACCCCATTGAAGATCCCGCGGGACTCTGGCGGCCTGAAATCCCTCCTCAAAGTCGCGCCGGCTACCAACCACCTGTGGAACCAGCTCTACCGGGCTTGGAATATTCACCTGATACTCCTGGTCCGGTGTGTAAAAGACGCCAGAAAAAACGCAAAAGTCACGTGGATATATCATCTCACCAATCACTCATTAATCAACATGGAGAAGATGCGATTCAACCTGCAGGAACAGGTCGTCCGGCACAGAGTCCATGGCTGGGAAATTTGGAGCTGCCTCGCGCCAACGCCGAGATCACGCTGGATGCAGAAATTCGAGCATTGGATCAATACCTGACCCCAAGAGCTCAGGAACAAAACCGGGTAGAGAAGCTTAGGACAGAGGTAGCCTCACTTCTCAAAGCAGTGGTCCCACATGCTCCAAGAGTCATTGGATCGCATTGCACGGGCCTTGTACTAGCACACTCAGATCTTGACTTTATACTACCATATGAAGATCTTCCTAGATCACTAGAACGTGATCGAAGACCGAGCCCCACGCGGCCTCAGATCCAAGATGCCCACATCCGCCTTCTGCGTCAAGTGCAAAGAGCTCTACAGCACACCGATACATTCAGCGACCATGTCAAACTCTCTGACAAGCGAAACCCTTCACTATCCGCTCGCCACCGGCCGACTGGACTGTCGCTACAATTCTATTGTGGCGAGGGTATCCCTGCCATCACGGAGTATCTGCAAGACTATCAGGCTGAATATCCTGCCCTACGACCTCTGTATGCAGTAACACGCACATTGCTAGAGGCACGTCGCCTTTTTGGCTCACCGCAGGCGAGCATTGGACCGGATGCGCTAGCCATGCTCATTGTAGCATTCCTGAAGATGAACCATGGCCGGTTTCCCGGGTCTAATAACTTGGGTGACCAGTTCCTTACTCTTCTGCAGTTCTATGGCACACAAGTTGACCTCCAGTCTGTCGGCGTCGCCGTGGATCCTCCCGGACTTTTCAGCGCAGACATGTTACCTGTAGCTTCCGGGGCTGATGAACCTGCCCACCAGCGGGGTCAGCGTTCTCTAATCAGCGCCAAGCGGACCGCTGTGGCCAAGCGGAATTTTCTCGTTGCCCAACGATTATGCATACAAGACCCTACCCATTACATGAATGATCTAGGCAGGTCGTGTACTCGGACTTCTGAGTTGCAGAGTGCATTTGCAGCTGCGCATCAGAAGCTTCGTCACTCGTGTGATGAATGGGCAAGCGACAGCAATATCAAGAGTCCAAGTGTCCTTGCCACTACTCTGCAGGCTAATTTTGATACCCTGGAGGACGTGCGCAATCGACTCGCGTACCTCTAGTTGAAGGTGTAATCTAGCGGTAGATCAAGCGATCGATTATTAATCAAACTAAGATTCCCATCTACGTCTTATCAGAGCATGTAGAAATTGTTTGAGGCAATAGGTACTCGCATATTTGTACTCGTCCGAAGTTAGTTTGGGCGTCAGATTCTCTTTGTGATCACTGAACAAAGAAACACTCGATGTCGTTGTTCCCCTCGATCTCTATCATAAAGCAAGATCATTTCAATTCCCTCTATTACTTTCTTCTTTCTCGCTAATTCGACAGCGAAACAAAAACAACGCAGAAGGCTACGTTTTCACTCGGGAGTGCTCAGGTGGACGCCCATTTGATTACTAAGTCTATCTGACGCGGACGCGACGCGATCTCGGGACTATCAGTTCGTGGGGGTCTTTGTGGCCGAGAACCGCGACAATCAGCTAAGATAGACGAGCCTACTCGCTATGCTAGCCGCTGGCTTTGGTTGATAAATATTCCTTCAAATGCGATCCCGCAAGCGCGTGCAGACGCCTACGGACTCTGACGAGGAAAGCGATGGGTCCAACCAGCCAGCCATGAGTTCTTCAGTAAGATCCAGCAAGTGTGAGTTTAAGCAGAGCTAACAGTCACAGAGAAAACGTCAGCGGACGAACTCAGGGAGCTCAACCGACTCGGAATATCCAACCTCTTCCAGCGCTGTTACTAACGCCGCGGATTCACTTCTAGCCGTCCACGACGATGCGCTACTCGACGACGAGGACGAGCTAGAGCTCCGCCAGACTCAGATCATACAAGAAAAATACTCGCATCTGATAGACGAGGCCAACGTTCCCGCCGAACATGGAATACTCGAACGCGTTGAGTGCTACAATTTCATGTGCCATGATCACTTCTACGTCGAGCTGGGACCTCTGATCAACTTTATTGTTGGAAAGAACGGCAGCGGCAAGAGTGCGATCCTGACAGCGATCACCCTTTGTCTAGGTGGCAAAGCCTCTGCAACAAATCGTGGCCAAAGCCTAAAAAGTTTTATCAAAGAGGGCAAGGAGAATAGCACGATCATCGTTCGCATCAAGAATCAAGGCGACGGTGCCTATTTGTCAGACGATTTTGGGAAAATGATTATTGTCGAGCGACATTTCTCCCGAAGCGGCACCAGCGGGTTCAAGATCAAGTCAGAGAATGGGCGCATCGTCTCGACTAAAAAGGGCGACCTAGATGCTATCACGGACTACTTTTCCCTACAGATCGAAAACCCTATGAACGTACTCTCTCAAGATATGGCCCGTCAATTCTTGAGTACATCAAGCCCAGCCGAGAAATACAAATTCTTCGTCAAAGGCGTCCAGTTGGAACAGCTTGATAACGACTACCGGCTAGTGGAGGAATCTCTCGACTCGATTGAAGAAAAGCTCCGGACATCAGCCCAAGACGTACAGGTCCTCCAAAACCGCAAGGAATTAGCCAGGAAAAAGCTCGAAATTTCCGACCAGCACGATTCTCTGCGAAAACGGATCAGAAATGTCCGAGGCCAGATGGCTTGGGCTCAAGTTGAAGAGCAAGAAAGAGTCAGTCCCGCCATCCCGCATTTTTCATGGTTGACTGACAAGACAGATGGAAATCTCACTCACCGAACAAATCGCAGAGGCAGATCGGAAAATTGCTGAGGCCGAGTCTCGCCTCACTCGGTTTGATGCTGCCTTTGATGGATTCGCCGCGGAGGAAACAGCCGCGGGTGAGCATTCCTGGCGAGCTGCCGTGGCAGTGAATGAGGCCCAAGATGAAAGGGACAAAATAAAAGAAAAATTGGACGCTGAGATGGCCGGCCGACACGACCTACAGGTACGTCCTTCCCCACTGTGATATACCTTGCCTGACTGTTCTGTATAGGCGGAACAACGCCAGATTAGGGAATACCTCAAAGCGGCCGAGTCGCGAATCCAGGAAACCCAGCAAAAAGTCGATGCTGAGAACCAACGCCTCGCTGATGTGAGCGGTGGCGGCTACGCTCGAAGACAAGCCGAGTGTGAACAAGCCGCCAATGACGCTTCTGCTGCCCAAAAGGAATACGAAGAGCATCGCCAAGGTGCCACTCGCCTACGGGAAGACGCTGAAGCCGCCGAAAGAGATTTCACAGAAGCGAAAGGTCCGGTTGAACAGAAAAAACGCGAGATTGGTCAAGCGGAGAACCAACTTCGGAATCTCACTAGAGAAGGCGGATCGAGACAATCCGGCTTCCATGCCAAAATGCCTGCACTCCTCAAAGCCATTCAACAGGAACAATCATGGGAGTCACGCCCTGTTGGCCCAATTGGTCACCATGTCACTCTGCTGGAACCGAAGTGGTCGTCTATTTTGGAAAGAGTGTTTGGTGGCACGCTTGCTAGCTTCATCGTTTCGTCCAAAAATGACATGAAGCTTCTTTTCGATATCATGCGGCGGGTTCAGTGGTGAGTTTGGCTAGAGGTACATGCTGAAGCTGAAGCTGACCTGACCTGACAGCAACTGTCCAATCTTCATTGGCTCTGGTGGCCATTTGGATACCTCGGCACACGAACCAGATCCCCAATACAAGACTGTTTTACGAACACTTCAGGTAGCCAGCTTCACCCCTTCCACGATTTATGGAATGTGCTGACCTTTCAGATCGACAACGAATTAGTGCGGCGACAACTGATCATCAATCATGGGATTGAACAAATGCTGTTGATCGAGGATGTAAATGAAGCCTCCGCTGTACTATTCGACGGTGCACGGCCAAGAAATGTTAAGCGTTGTTACTCCATTGACCCAAAAGATCGACGTCGTGGACTCCACCTTTCATACAGCCGAGCCGGAGAACCCAGTCAGGCTCCTGTTATGGGGTGGACCGACGGCCCGCGTATGAAATCCGACGTGGCCTTGCAAATAAAGTAAGTAAGCCCTCTTCCTTGAAACCTGTGACACCGGCTGATGGCTCTAGCGCACAACGCGACATTATTGCCGACCTTCAACGCCAACAGAAGGACATCGAACAGTCATTGCTAACTGCCCGGTCACGCGTCGAGGCCTGCAAACAGGCATCAGCACGACATGTAAGAACTGAGAAAGATCTGCAAATTCAAATGCAACGAATGGAAGATCATGCCGAGGGACTCAGAGACGCCTTGGACAAAGAGAACGCTGAAGATGGCCGCATTGATGCCCTTCTGGCAGCATTGAAGGAAGCCGAAGACGAGAAGCAACTCAATGAGGGATCATACAAGGATAGCGAGGCAGCCATGAAAGCCACATTGCAGACTCTCAAAGAAATTCGGCGGGAACTATCCGCCAAAGACTCTGAGCTTGGAACCCTCCGGGAAAAGCTACAAGTTGCTGAAAGCGAGCAAAATCTTGTGAAAACCAAACAAGCCAAAATCCTCGACGAGAAGAACGAAGCTGTTGGACTTATTGACCAAGATAAACAGACCAAGGCTGCAATCGAGGCGAGAAAAGAAGTGGTCAAAGCCCGGGTGATTGAATACAATGAAAAGGCCAACTTGGTTTCTCCTCGAGTTCCAGTGGATGAAGGAGAGACACCTGGCAGCCTCGACAAAAAGCTTGACAAACTAAGCCGTGATCTAGATCGTTACAACTTGGAGTATGTCTCTTGCAGCTTACCGTTTGCCACAAAAACTGACAGTCGACAGGTTGGGGAGTTCTCGGGAGGAAATTGCTGCTGATGCAACAAGGACCGCAGCAACCTATGATCGAGCCTTGCAGCAGCTTGAACAATTTTCGGCCCTGAGTCAGGTAATTACCCCTTTGTTTGATATATGTTGGTTTATTTGGTTATTTTGTCTGATCTGACATTTCAAATGGTATTTAGGCCCTGAAAAATACCCTTCAGAACCGTAAGAAGCGATGGGAAATCTTCAGATCCCATATCTCGTCTCGAGCCAAAGCTCAATTCACCTATCTCTTGAGTGAGAGAAGTTTCCGTGGTCGGCTATTGGCTGACCATACCAACAAACTTCTGGATCTACAAGTAAGACTGTCCACAAACCTGATGAAATGGACCGATCAATACTGACTACTGTCCAGGTTGAACCGGATATTACCAAAGATGATAGCACCGGGAGAGGTGCAAAGACACTGTCCGGTGGAGAGAAATCATTCTCGCAAGTTTGTCTGTTGTTGTCTCTCTGGGAAGCTATGGGATCTCCGATCCGTTGTCTTGATGAATTGTAAGTTTTCTTCTCACTTTGATCTGTTGCCATGCTGACTTCAAAAGTGATGTGTATATGGATCATATCAACCGAAAGATGGCGATTGACATGCTTGTAAGTGCCACTTCTCCTTCCTACAGGATCGTCGCTGACTGACAACTGTTCTAGATGGTTGCCGCTAGAAGATCTATCGGGCGACAGTTCATTCTGATCACCCCTGGTAGCAAGACCGACATCACCATCTCTGCGGATGTCAGAGTGAAAGAGTTGGCAGAGCCAGAACGTGGCCAAACGACACTAAGCTTCCGACGCTGAACTCCATTGTCAGTTAATCTTATTTTGCAGCGAAATACCCTTTAAGAAATGCCATGTTTATCCCGTGTCCGAAATCATTCTCATACCTGTGTAGTAAATAGTAGTGGGGTGGCACGTGACTTTGACCAGTGGAACGTTTAGCTTCACTCTTTACCTCAAACCTCTTCCATCACAATCTCAACCTCTCCTACCCTTTTTTCCTCTTTCTCTCTCCTCTTGTCAACAGAACTGGTTTCTACCATTCTTCATCCTATCTGTGAACTCTCCCAGCTTTGGCATCAGAGATCTCTCTTGGTTCCACACAGAAGCTTTATTTCATTGAATACCCAATCTCGCCGTCCCCTTACAACCTGACTTTATTCGTTTTCGGCGAACATCCCTCTCCTCTCCTCATATTTCCTGACGCTCAAACCTCTTCCAAAATATTCCTCTTCTAACTTCCGCGCACACCCTTTCACACACATCCTTGATCGCAAACAAAATCGGTCACCTCACTTGCTTCCCATCTCCTTAGCACTCTATCGTCACAATGGCAGACGCGCTTGCTGCACAACTCGGCAATACTAAGCTGTAAGTCAATCGTGTTTGTTTGTCCTGCAAAACAAATCTGACTTGACCAGGGAAGCAACCTCAGAGCAAAGACTGCAGGACACATTGAACCTCCCCCCCAAAGATGCTCGCCCACAAACTGAGGTGAGTATTTTTTCTTAGGGTCAGTCATTGCCAACATACTAACTCTGAATAGGATGTCACTGCCACAAAAGGCCTCGAATTTGAGGACTTCTACATCAAGCGCGAACTCATGATGGGCATTTTTGAGGCTGGATTTGAAAAGCCTTCCCCTATCCAAGAAGAGACGATACCAGTTGCCCTCACAGGCAGAGACATCTTGGCCCGAGCTAAGAACGGCACCGGAAAAACCGCTGCCTTTGTTATTCCCACCCTCGAGCGCATCAACCCCAAAAGTACAAAGACCCAAGCCTTGATCCTGGTCCCCACACGAGAGCTCGCACTGCAGACATCACAGGTCTGCAAGACCCTAGGCAAACACCTGGGTATCAATGTCATGGTCACCACTGGTGGAACTGGTTTAATGGATGATATTATCCGGTTGAATGACCCTGTTCATATTCTGGTGGGAACCCCCGGACGAGTGCTGGATTTAGCTAGCAAAGGTGTCGCCGACTTGTCCGAATGCCCGACATTTGTGATGGATGAAGCAGATAAATTGCTCTCCCCCGAGTTTACTCCTGTTATTGAGCAACTTATGTCCTTCCACCCCAAGGATCGCCAGGTCATGCTCTTCAGTGCGACTTTCCCTTTGATTGTCAAGTCATTCAAGGACAAGCACATGCGCAACCCTTACGAGATCAACCTTATGGACGAACTTACCCTGCGCGGTATCACCCAGTACTATGCTTTCGTTGAGGAGAAGCAAAAGGTCCATTGCTTGAACACTCTTTTCTCCAAGCTTCAGATCAACCAGTCGATCATTTTCTGCAACTCAACGAACCGGGTTGAGCTTCTAGCGAAAAAGATCACCGAACTCGGCTATTCGTGCTTTTACTCTCATGCTCGGATGCTTCAGCAGCACCGTAACCGAGTCTTCCATGACTTCCGCAATGGCGTATGCCGCAACTTGGTTTGCTCTGACCTGCTGACTCGCGGTATCGATATTCAAGCAGTCAACGTTGTAATCAACTTTGATTTCCCGAAGAACGCGGAGACCTATCTTCACCGTATCGGTCGTTCGGGTCGTTTCGGACACTTGGGTCTCGCCATTAACCTCATCAACTGGGAGGATCGGTTCAATCTGTACAAGATTGAGCAAGAACTGGGCACTGAAATTCAGCCCATTCCTCAGAATATTGACAAGAAGCTATATGTCTATGATTCTCCCGAGAACATCCCTCGGCCCATCTCCAACCCTCCACCCCAGACTGGAGCTGGATCTGTGAACATGAACGGAGACCGTCAACCTCGTCGGAACAACCACAATGGCCAACCGCAAATTCAACAACATGGCCAATACTACAATAATCGGGGACGCGGCTCTTACCGTGGTCGTGGACAGGGCCAACGCCGTGGGGCACAAAATGACGCCAACCGGATCACCTTTGGTCAACCGAATCCGGGTCAACCCCAGGCGCCCATCTCTTAGGCCCAAACACGCCCGAACAAAAAATTTTTCATATCGCTGCGCTTTGGTTTCCTCGATTCTCTTATTCTATTCCGCTCTATCTTCGAGATCCTGCCGGGCTATCCCGGCATTGATTATCCGGTCATAATGATACGGGAGTGCAATGTATCATATGTCTTTTCCGTTCCGGTCCCTTTTCCTATGAGTTGGATCCTTGAGGAAAATGCATTTTCGGCGCCTACGATCTTCGTTTTCCGAGGCTGTATTCTGTGTTCCGGGTATTTGCAAGGCAAATGGCGTTCCACAGGATAAGCGTCTCATGCGAATGTGTCCCAAGGGGGGCCTCTGCTTTTTTTACTTTCCCTACGCAACGAGTGATGATCTCACCCATTACCGACCTTTTGTTCGCAGCCTGGAGTCCTCCCACCACTCCACCATGCTTAACCCCATTCCTGCCTACATCCAATTTGTGTGATTGCCGTTGTTAGAGACACGGTGAACACCACTCTCCCACTCAAAAAAAAAAAAGAAAAAAAAGATGGAAAAAATTGGAGGAGCACTAGTTGCTGAACGGATCTAGGTAGATTCAGCTAGTGAATTGACAATATCCCTCCAATTTGTTCCATTGTAATACGTAGGAATAACCCGGTGCAGTCCTCATTTATATGTAGACGCATGTATATGAATGAGTTGTGCGAAGGAACTGTCTCCTGGCTAATCCAACCTTGCGGTAATGGCACGTGCCGAATGCCGTATATTGCTGGATCTCCGAGGTTCGGCGACTCCAATTACTCCAAGCAAACAATGGCGACGGTGAATAAGGATCAAAAGGCAAAGGTTTGTTCTCTCAAATAATTGAGTCTGCTTGAAGCTCACCAGTAAATAGCCCAGCGCCCTTCGCTCCATCATTGCGGGGTCCACCGCCGGAGCCGTGGAGATCGGTAAAGAGCTCAATGACTCCTCTACCAGGCCGCTCGCTAACCATATATACCACAGCGATCACATACCCGGCCGAATGTATGATTTCACAAATGTCTTACAACACTTATTGCTAATGCTATGCAGTTGCAAAGACCCGGACGCAACTCAATCGCCAGCTTACCCAGGGGCAAAAGCTACCATGGCCACCGTTCGGAAGCCAGTGGTATGCAGGATGTACGACACTGATTATCGGAAACTCACTCAAGGCTGGAATTCGTGCGTCTATTTCCCGCGATTGTATGGGGCTCCGCTGATTCATACTAGGATTTGTCGCTTTCGATGCCATAAAATCGGTTCTCCAAGATGAGAACGGCAAGATCTCAGGACCAAGGACGGTTGTTGCTGGATTTGGTGCTGGATTCACCGAGTCTCTTCTCGCCGTCACCCCCTTTGAAAGTATCAAGACTCAATTGTAAGTTTCCCGTTTTATCTCTGACTGGCTCTAAACTGACCAAACTATAGGATCGACGACCGAAAGTCCGCCAACCCTCGGATGCGTGGTTTCTTGCATGGTAGCAAGATCATTTTCCAGCAAAGAGGTGTCAAGGGCTTCTTCCAAGGCTTTGTGCCCACCACGGCAAGACAGGCCGCCAACTCGGCTACCCGATTCACAGCCTACACGACATTGAAGCAGTTTGCAGAGGGTTATACGGCGCCAGGCGAAAAGCTGGGCACTGCAGCCACCTTTGGAATTGGTGGGATCGCAGGGCTCATCACTGTGTAAGACTTGGTCTCTCTGAAGAAGATGAAAAGACAAATCCGGACTAACATGAATCAGTTATGTGACCCAACCATTGGACACGGTCAAGACAAGGTTAATACCCCCACGCGCTAACAGGTATATAAAATGCTAACGATATCAGAATGCAATCACTCGAGGCTAGCAAGCATTACAAGAACAGCATCGTTTGCGCAACAAGAATCGTCAAGGATGAAGGTGTCTTCACTTTGTGGTCTGGCGCCATGCCGCGACTTGCGAGATTGATCATGAGTGGAGGAATTGTGTTCACCATGTTTGTGACCCACTCAACTCATACTATGAAAGTTGCTAACTGTTGGCAGGTATGAGAAGGCTATGGATGGACTGGATATCTTGGATCCGGAGAGAAAATACTTGTAGAACAATAGACTCGTGCCTTAATATAATACATGGTATCTTTGTACATGGGAAAAAAAGAAGAAGAACGACTATGCTATTTATTCTTCGCGTTTGCCATGCCCTCGGCAACCATGGCCTCAACTTCACTATCAGCCATCCAGGTCCGCACACTGTCCATCACAGTCTCCAAACCATCACCACCATCAAGAATACCATCCAGATTGTGGATCGTGATCCCCGTGCGATGGTCGGTGCAACGACTTTGGCCGAAATTGTAGGTTCGAATCTTATCACCTCGACCCATTTTGGCCACACCACCAAGTATACCTCGTCTGAGCTGCATAAGCTCTTGCTCGCGGGCTTCTCGCCGGGCTTCGGCCAGCTTTGCTCGTAGCACCTGCCACGCTTTCCTCCGATTGGCCTGCTGAGACCGTTCGTCTTGCATGGAGACAACCGTATTCGTGGGGATATGGGTCAGTCGAATGGCGGACTCGGTTTTGTTGACGTGTTGCCCACCAGCACCTCCAGCCCTCATCTTTTCAACCCGCACCTCTTGCGGGTCAATATAGTAATCGCTGCTTGGATCTTCAAAATTCAGGGCATTATCCATTTCGCTGCTGTCCTCTGGGAAACTCGGCAAGACCATTACGCTGACGGCGCTGGTATGGGTGCGACCTTTAGTCTCGGTTGCGGGTACTCTCTGCACCCTGTGTACCCCGGATTCAGTCCGTAATATATCGTATGCGCCATTGGCTTCAATTTCGATTACCGCTTCACTGAGACGATCGTCGGACGGGCCGACCTCTGTGTCCTGCTTCAAGATTGTCGGGCGGAGGCCCCTTCGGGAGCAGAAGGCAACGTACATCCGTAGCATCTCAAAAGCGAACAAGCCCGCTTCATCTCCGCCTGCACCGGGTCGGATTTCGAGCAAGCAAGGAAGGTCTGCAAATGGATGTCGTGGAATGAGAGCCTTCTTCAGTCGGTCTGATACCGTAGGCAAAGCATCGCGACTGTTCTCAAGGTCTTCTGTTGCCAAAGACCGTAGTTCAGCATCGGTATTAGGATCGGTTAATATGGAGTTGAGCTCGACGATAGACTAGCGGAATTAGTAGGGCTCCAACACAAAGGTCTCCAGGGCGCATACATCGTTGGCCTTGACCCATTCTTTCAAGATACTTGCAACCGGTGCCAGTTCGCCGGCTCGCTTGGCAGTTTTTGCGTCAAAGGACTCTCCCAACCGTTCTGCAAGCTTTGCATGTTCAGCTGCAAGTAGGCGGGCTCTGGTTAAAAGAGCTGGAGACAAGGTAGAATCGGATGCTTCGTCGCAATTAGCATATATTGATCAGAAAGTAACCAAACCAGTTCTTACCGGTATGTACACCTCGCAGAGCTGACAATTTCAGACCAAGTCTAGGCCGCAAGATACTTCGACATATTGACTTGGCGAGCATACTTCGAGTCAGAGTAATTGAAGACCAAAATTCGGTACGAAAGCGATTGGAGACAATTCCATGTCACATGACGGTAACGGAACAATACGAGGCGTAAAGGCCACGGAGTACATGTATGCTCATCCACAGTTTCGACTTTCTCGTTCATTGTTCTTTGCGCTTTTGCTGTTTGCTATTTTTGAACTGGGTTTTTGGATTATGCCCCTATTCTTGTGCTCCTAGGGAGACTAATTCTACAACCAAAACCCTCATTTACACCCCCATTACTGCGTCGTTACTTGCCCCAAAATGCTCGTTTCCTTGGAATCACTCACGGCCTTTCTGGCTTGCGTCTCGGCTGGATACGCCCTTCAAATCCCCGCAGATACACCCCTCTCTGAATTGATCTCTTCCGCCAAAGCCCACCTCGCGCAGGGCTCACCCCGAGATGCCGTGGTATACTTTGACGCCGCCGTCTCCCGCGACCCAACCAACTATATCACTATCTTCCAGCGGGGCGCGGCTTATCTTTCCATCGGCAAGAACTCACAAGCCTCGAGTGACTTTGACCGGGTTCTAGAACTCAAGCCGGACTTCGAGGGTGCCCTTCTACAGCGATCCCGCTTAAACGCACGCTCCGCGCATTGGCAAGAGGCCTTGCAGGATCTCGAGCGGGCCGGAAAGAAGTCGACGGATGATTACAAGGAAATAGAAGCTGCGCGGGACGCGGCCACCTTGGCTCTCAATGCTGAAAAGCAGGGCGCCTGGGAGACGTGTGTCTCGGAGGCAAATGTGGCCATCCTAAAGGCAAATACGGCACTGCCGCTTCGGCAGACTCGAGCCCACTGTCACTTTGAAAAGGGCGAGACGGAAGAAGCGCTCAGTGATTTAGCACACGTTCTACAAATGTCCCCGAGCTTGGTCGAGCCTCACCTGCAAATGTCGTCCATGCTGTTCTACTCTCTAGGCGACAGTGACCGCGGCCTTTCTCAAATCCGTAAATGTCTCCATGCTGATCCCGACTCGAAACCGTGCAATCGCCTCTATCGACGTGAACGAAAGCTTGCCAAACAGCTAGAAAAATTGCATACTGCCCTAGGCGCACGCAAATTCAGCAATGCAGCAAATCTCATGGTCGGCGATAGTGAATCCAGTGGACTGATTGCAGACGTCAAGGCCGATGTTGACGAAGCAAGACAGGCTAACCATATTCATCGACTGGCACCCAACAATCTTTACACATTCCTGGTCGAGAAGACCTGCGAGGCTTACCGTGAAGTGAGTACCCATGTCACATGGTTTGGTTTCTGTCACTAACATACCCCAAGATGCGTATGATTAAAAAGGCTGGTCCTTATTGCGCCGAAGCTCTCCAGCTTGTTCCTCACTCGCTTGCCGGGCTTCTGTATAAAGCTCAGACCGCTTTGGACGAGGATCGATTTGAGGACGCCATACGTACGCTCGAATCGGCCAAGGAACACCACCCCAGTTCTCAAGAGACGCAATCTCTCCAACAAAAGGCTCAGACCCTGCTCAAGCGTTCCAAGCAGAAAGATTACTACAAGGTCCTGGGTATCAGCCGTGATGCGGATGATCGGACGATCAAGCGCGCGTATCGCCAGCTAGTGAAGCAACATCACCCTGATAAAGCCAACGCCCAGGGTGTAAGCAAGGAAGAAGCAGAGAAAAAGATGGCGGCCATCAACGAAGCCTACGAGGTTCTATCGGACGCCGAGCTCCGGACACGGTTTGACAACGGCGACGACCCCAATGATCCTGAATCGCAACAGCGGGGCAATCCGTTCCAGGGCAACCCATTCGGTGGTGGTCAACAGTTCTTCTTCCAACAGGGTGGTCCGCAATTCCACGGGGGTTTCAAATTCCCTGGTGGATTCCGCTGATCTCGATTCGTCTCTTTTTTTGCTGCGGAACATACCAGGTGTTCGTGGAGTTTCTCGATGTATTTGGAAATAGGAGACAGCACATGAACTCATATCATTCTTTTTATTTTTCATTTTGCATCGAAGTAAAGGCTGTAGAAAGGAAAAAAAAGGAAGAGAGAGAAAGCGTCTGAATTGCAGTCTCATCCTTTTGGAGCATCCGTCAAAGGCACATAACTCACCTGGAAGACCTTCTCCTTGTGAATGGATCCGTCTTCCTTTTTATCCACCACCCAGATATATTGACCCCCGCTGAAACTATCCCCGGCATTCTCATCGTCTTCGGATTCCACCGGAATAAACAGTCTCCCAGGAGCACGCAGCTGGTCCACCAGAGTCGGATGAAGCTTGTCGGCCGCGGCGCCAACGTGGATGGCGTCGTACGGTGCACCTTCTTTCCATCCAAGACGTCCATCACCAGTGATAAACTTGACGGTCCGGGATTCCTGGAATTCACTACCTTTCTTGGACTTGTCCATGTTGGTACGAGCCAGGTCTGTCAGCTCGGAGATATGGTCAATGCCAATCACCTGTCCCTGATGGCCAGAGCCGGCCACCAGGTTGGCAAGGACATGGGTCAAGTACCCCGAACCAGATCCAATGTCCAACACCCTGGCACCTGGTTTGAGATAATCAATCAGATACTCACATGCATGGCCATGCATGTGTGGTGCTGATATGGTGGCCCCATATCCAATGGGTTGAGGCGAGTCCGAATACGCCCGTGATGGAGCATAATGGGCTCGATCGACCTTTGGTCCATGTTAGAAAGAGCAATGAAACAGGTGTATATTAATATGCTCACTCCTATCATGGCATCTTTCACACGCTCATTGTGGATCAGTCCAGCCTTGAATAGGTTCTCAATCAACTCGGTATTGGTGGATCCAGAACAATACCACGCCATGGTCATAGCCCGTGTTGCTCTGCTGGGGCTAGATTTTGGTTTTATGAGACTGAGCATGAGCTGGGGGTTGGTGAAAGAGGGAAATGTCAATTACATAGTAAGTACATATGTGTGACTCCTAGGTGTTATATATAAATGACGCCATGATATCCGCATTCACTCCACGTGATTTAAAAACAAAGGTCACTACAATTGAACATCTTGTATTTTTCTCTTTATCTGGAAGATAACTCCGATGTTACATTCACAAGTAGTCCTGTAATTCCAGTATATTAGAAGTACATACACCAAGTCACGTGGTAATATCAAAACATCTCCCCAGAGCTCGGGCATCCACATCGCCGACTAATCGCGCCGACTAATCGCGTTCAACAATCGTCCTGGGAACAGCTATTTCTGGGGCACCATGGACCCCACTAGGACCCATTCACACACCTCTCATCTGATATCCCTCCCTCTCCAGGGTTGACTTAAAAATGGCGGAACGAGACCCTGGAATGCGAGCCACAGTGGATCTGATGATCCTCGACTACATGGTCTGCATGTGTGTCAGCCAGATCATAGGAGCAATTTATGAAGCAAGAGCAACCGAAGACATTGAATGGTTTGCGCTTTTTGTTGAACGTGAGCAGCAGAACTTCCCCAACAAAAAATCATTCATACTGACTACGGCTCTAGAATTCCACCGGCGGCTCCTTGGTCATCGTCTCGAAGGCCCCCTGCCCTGGGACCTGGACTTCAAGTTGCGCATTTTCTACCTGTCCAATTTATTTCTCCACTGGGACCCCCCCAAAGATCGCGACCTCGGTCACTTTGTTCCCCTGTCTGATATCGCAGTTCAGTTCATGGACTTGTGTCACTCTGCGGTCGCTCACGTATCCCGGAGACGCTGGTTCGACCTTGGTGCCCACTTCATGGTTCATGCTATGCTGGAAGAACAAGAGCGCTTCCCAGACCAGCTCCGCAGCCTCTGCAACTGGAGAACCAACGACAGTGAACTCGATATATGGTGGGAGGTTAGCCGTACCATGTTCCTGGAGTACATGCCGCCCCCCTTTGGTACCGCGGGTCCAATGAGCCGAGAAGAGCTTGATGAGAGGTTCCCTCTCCAAGCCCTGCAACATCGTTACGTTGATTTTTTCGAGGATCTCATGGAAGTCCTGGATGCGCCCCTTCTCCTCCAGCTGGAGCAGGGTCAACTGGAAGGGTTGACACGAGAGGAGACACAACGGGTTCGAAACTATTGTGGACTTTAATATCCCCACTCAAGAGATACGAGAACACGCTCTTCTGTGTGCTTCTACGTGCCAGGTCAAGCAGACAGGTGAGGGAAAGCCAGAGTCGCGGATCACGAGTTGCCTGAAACGCAATACTACATGTACATCAATTGGATCACCTCATTGACCATTCAATCACAATCAATTTTCAACAGCCGATTCAGATGGAAAGCAATATACACATGACACAAGAATAGTACCTAAGCCCACTACAAGACCTGTCCTTGACATTGCATTTATATCTTGGAGCATAATAATTTACAAAGGGTGCAAGGCCGCTCCAGGTACGAGAACGCAGATAATAAAAGGCGCGTGACAAAACGCTCACGCTACCTAGCCAAGCAGCATGCGTCGGGGGTCCTCAATGTACTCCTTGACCTGTGATGGGATAAGTGATTGATTCGGGCGGATGAGGAGGTAGACATACCTTGACAAGGAAAGTAACGGCCTCGCGACCATCCAAGAGACGGTGGTCGTAGGTGAGGGCCAGATACATCATCTATAAATATCAGTAAACCGAAGGAAAAAGTGATTGGCTTGTTTGTACGTACGGGACGGATCTCGACCTTGCCGTTCACAGCGACAGGCTTGTCCTTAATGGCGTGAAGACCCAAGACAGCTGGACAAAATTAGATTCAAACCTCCAAAACGCAATACGAGAGAACTGACCTGTTTGGGGAACGTTGATGATTGGTGTGCCCATCAACGAGCCGAAGACACCCCCCTGGGATAAGTTAGCCGTGCTATTCTTAAACACGCAAAAACAGGAAACATACGTTGCTGATGGTGAAGGTACCACCGGCCATGTCTTCAATGGTCAACTTGTTGTCACGAGCCTATTACAAGTCAGTAGACTGGACACCGCCCCCCAGAAAAATAACTTCTCACCTTCTTTCCGAGATCGGCAATGGCCTTCTCGATTCCAACAAGATCCTTGCCTTCGGTGTTACGGACAACAGGAGTCACAAGGCCCTTCTCGGTGGCAACTGCGACGCTGATGTCGACGTAGTCGCGGTAGACAATGGTGTCACCGCCGTTAGGACCCTCAATGGAAGCGTTGACGGCGGGGATATCCTTCATGGCAAGCACACAAGCACGGGAGAAGGCACTCATGAAGCCAAGCTTCACACCGGTCTTCTTGAGGACGTCATCCTTGTATAGCTTCCGGAACTCCATCAGCGAGGACATGTCGACCTCGTTGAAAGTGGTGAGAGAAGCGGCGGTGTTCTGGGACTGCTTCAGGCGCTCGGCGATACGCAGACGCATACGGTTCATTTTAACCTGGACCAAAATTAGCTTAAGCCAAAGTCAAGGACCCATTGGCGGTCAACATACCCGGCGTTCCTCACGGTCACCAAGAGCTGGCTGTTCAGCAGCTTGGGGCTTAGACTCCGCCTTGGGAGCTTCCTTGGGGGGTGTAGCCTTCTTAGGTTCGGGCTCCTTTGGCTTCTCGGTCTCGGCGGGGGCAGGCGAAGCATCCTTCTTGGGCTCGGGCTCCTTGGGCTTCTCGGCACCCTCGTCCCTCTTTCCGCCTCCGGGAGCGGCGCCAAGCTCGAGCTTGACGAGATCCTGGCCGACAGTAACAGTATCTTCCTCGTTCACGAGGAATTCCTTGATGGTACCAGACTCCGGGGCATTGACCGAAACATCAATCTAACAGAAAATCTATCTTAGCGACAGTACTAGGCGTGACGGGTGGGGGTAGAGTTGGTATTTACCTTGTCTGTTTCAATTGTCGCAATCTCCTCGTCCCGCTCGACAAAATCGCCAACCTCTATACCAGAATAAGTAAACATGAAATATTGGACCACAGCTAAAGCAACCTACGTTTTGAGAACTGCTTGAGGGTACCCTCTGTGATCGACTCAGCCATGCTGGGGACTTTGATGATGGAGTCGGCTAAGTACAATTAGCAATTGACCAACATGATTGCTCAAGAAAAGCATTTACCATAGGTGCGAAGTTGGTGGCCCCCTAGAGGAGCAATGTTGAGTCGCGAGACATTGATGCTATAGTTGTATGAGCTAAAATTGCGTCGGATGGTAATGACATAGGTACTTACCCGGAGGCAGAGACCTGCAACAAGCCCGAAGCTGAGCGATCAGAAGTCTTCCGCGTGAGGGTGGACAATCCCTTGACATTGCGGAACTGGCTTGATGCCCGAGGAGTTCTGGCCACAGCCGAGAAGCGCTGGCCCGAGAGGCGCGCAATAGAGATCCGAGAAGCCATGATGAATTAAAGTAAAATTTATTCAGCTGGGAAGACGCCGAACCGGTGTAAGAGAAAACGCTTCAATTCTAAAAATTAGAGGAAGCAAAGAAGATGAAGCTCGGATTAGATCGGGTTCTTAGGTAAACCGGGCACCCTACCGGCAGAGGTGCCCGGACTATTCTTCTTACACTACGGCGACGGGAAGAGACCATTCAAGCTGTTCGTACGGGGCCGGGCAGTGACCATCCGAGCAAATTCATGTCGAACGAATTAGGAAGCCCAGAATAGTCAACCTGACGACATTGAAACCCTCAAACCCCGACCCATTCTCTACCAGGAACCCTAGCAACCTCCACAAAGGTTGTCATTTTTGTCAGATAGACCTGTGTCTCAACATATACGCTCTTTTGCTTTCGTTTTCCTTTCCCTCTTCCAGCTGGCCCGAATTGGACCCGGGACAAAACTTGAGCACAATGTCCACCTCCGCTGTTAAGTGAGTAGGCTGGTCTCCCTCTAGAAGACTATTGACTGATCTACTGTAGGTCGCTCTACCGGCGCTCCCTGAAACTGTCTCTTGACTGGGCCGTCCACCGGCAAATCTGGCGTGGACAAGCAGTCTATATCCGATCCCTTTTCGAAGCCAACAAGGACGTCCGCGATCCTCGCCAGCAACAGGTATGCGAAACAGAAATTCATAGTTGACGAACCTAACACATGCTCCAGGTTTTGTTACGCGAGACAGAGAAGCTCTTGGCAACCTGGAAGCACCCTGACCCATACCGCGCACCTACTGCGCCCGGCGGCAACAAATGGGAGCGCAACCTGCCGGCTCGAATCCTGCCATGTACGTTCGCGTCCGCCATGAAACCTGATTTGCACTAACCATGAAACAATACAGATGCTCAACCTCCCGGTGCCCACTAAGTCAAGTCAATATCGCAAAACACAATATGAGGATTAGGCCAATTCCAAACATGAACTATGCAACATGAAGTATGCGTGTCTTTGCTGAACATGTAGAGTACCCGGACCAGGATCAAGAATCAACAATTTTGTTCATGTACAATAGCCAGCACAAGAGCAGCAAATCGCCAAGAATGTCATTTATATATACATATATGACGTATAGACGAAGTACGAAATGCAGGGTGGGTATATTTAACACTTGAAGACCTGGAGTTTTCATTGATTTGGGCTCATGCCCAGGGCTAGTATCCGAAAGTTGAAATCCCTCAAGCAAGTTAAGGTCGTCGGTATCATTCCATGTCCGTAGACATAATGTACAACCAGGAAATTGATGGAAAAAAAAAGAGAAAACGCAGAGCCATAACGTGCACGTCCCATAACCCCATTATCGTGTCAAAGAACCAATCCGCGCCGGAAAAGAAAACAAACAACCCGCGAAAAGAAAGAGAAACCCCTTACAGCTCCTGGCTGCCCTTGCCGGCCTTGGGAGTCTTCTTGGGAAGAAGGTCTGGAAATAGTATTAGTGTATGATGCAAAAATAGTGAAGTATGGGAATAACGTACTCTGGTGGATGTTGGGGAGAACACCACCCTGGGCAATGGTGACGTGACCCAAGAGCTTGTTCAGCTCCTCATCGTTGCGGATGGCAAGCTGGAGGTGGCGGGGAATGATACGGGTCTTCTTGTTGTCACGAGCGGCGTTTCCAGCCAACTCGAGAATCTCAGCAGCGAGGTACTCGAGAACAGCAGCGAGGTAAACGGGAGCACCGGCACCAACACGCTGGGCGTAGTTGCCCTTGCGGAGCAGACGGTGGACACGGCCAACGGGGAAGGCCAAACCAGCCTTGGAGGAACGGCTGAAGATGTTGATGTCAGTATGAAACGTATATATATGCGCGAAATGTAAACAACTTACGACTGCGCGTTCTTGCTGCCGCTAGCCTTGCCGCCAGACTTTCCGCCAGTCATTTTGATGGTTTTTGAAAAAGGGGAGAAGTTTGGGTGGAAAATGAAAAGAAGTCTGAAGGTGGAGAGCTTGAGTTATGGTGTAAAGTCGCAAGAGCAGGTGGGAGAGCGTGTGGAAGCGGAAGGCCTTTATAAGGACGCGGTGAGGGTGACGTTGGGGCAGCATCAATGAGCCTTCCAGATCACGGTCTCGCTTAGGCGTTGCAGCCAATGATCAATCAGATCAGACATTCCGCTTTAGGAATGGTGTTGTAATATAAAGCTATTACCATACCTGACAGTCAGATGAGTGTGTCTTTACCCCACTCTTCCTACCTTAAGACGCGTCAATGTCGGTTTAATCATACAGATCATACCAAATTATTACCGTATTGAAATTCGGCCTCCTTTGCACCCCCTCCAGGATCAACTGGCCTTTGGAACACGAGTATAAAGACGCTGTCTCCCCTCGTCACCGCGTCTCTCTAACTTCACCTTCCACATTCCCATCTCTGTTTCCCACCCACACGCTTCATCCATCTTTACTCTTAACTCTTCCAACTCTTTTTTAAAAACCAACTTTTCAAACCACATTCAAAATGCCCCCAAAGGCCGCTGAGAAGAAGCCCTCCACCGGTGGCAAGGCCCCCGTTGGCGGTAAGGCCCCTGCTGAGAAGAAAGAGGCTGGCAAGAAGACTGCCACCGCTGCCACTGGCGAGAAGAAGAAGCGCGGCAAGACCCGCAAGGAGACCTACTCTTCTTACATCTACAAGGGTGAGTTCCTGAAAACAACATCTAACCCAACCAAAAAAAAAAAAAGAGCGTCCATGCTGACTCCATTTCCAGTCCTCAAGCAGGTCCACCCCGACACTGGTATCTCTACTCGTGCCATGTCCATCTTGAACTCCTTCGTCAACGGTATGTTCTTTTTCGCGGAACTCAACGTGTTTACGCGTTTGTCACGTCATGTTTTCTGACTTGTTCATTTTCCAGACATTTTCGAGCGTGTCGCTACCGAGGCCTCCAAGCTGGCTGCGTACAACAAGAAGTCCACCATCTCCTCCCGGGAGATCCAGACTTCTGTCCGCCTCATCCTCCCCGGTGAG